TGGTTCCCCCGGGACTCCAACCCAGAACCCTCTGGTCCTGGTTCCCCCGGGGACTCCAACCCAGAACCCTCTGGTCCTGGTTCCCCCGGGACTCCGACCCAGAACCCTCTGGTCCCGGCTCCCCCGGGACTCCGACCCAGAACCCTCTGGTCCTGGTTCCCCCGGGGACTCCAACCCAGAACCCTCTGGTCCCGGTTCCCCCGGGACTCCGACCCAGAACCCTCTGGTCCTGGTTCCCCCGGGGACTTCAACCCAGAACCCTCTGGCTGTGAGGTGATGGTGCTAACCATCACACCACTGTACCGCCCTGAAAATGAGCAAATTTCACCTGATTGTTCTAAAAAGAATTGTTTTTGATGATGAATAATTATCTGCGTGTGTGTCTGTGGTGACTGGCAGTGGATCCTGTAGTAATGACCCCTCACCACTAGGTGGCAGCAGGTGGTGAAATGCCCTGTAGTTCAGACAGGAGAATTAGAGATGCAGACTGGGATGACAGTGATGGAGAAGTTTTAGAAAAGACTTTGAGGTGTTCTACAACCTCTTAAAATGTTAGAGCACATTGCTGTGGCCCTGTTCCAGCTGTGTGTTTGAAGTGGACATGTTAAGTGCAATTTGAAAGAATATAAAATATGATAAATACATTTTTGTGTTTGATTCCTATTCAAGAGACTTAGAGAAGAACAACTATATTGTTAATGTACACGGCTACAGAGGATCATTTGTTTAACCTTTTGGGTTGGTGGTGTGCCTCTGGACTTTTAAACACATTAAAAAGTACCTTGGACTGGACTCCAACGCCGAGAACTGAACCAGCCACTAGTGTCCAGGTCTGATGTTGGATAACCACACACACACACACTCACACACACACACACACACACACAAACCAGAAGCTCAGCTTCAGCTTCAGCAGCTTTACTGCAGCCTCCTCCTCCCCATGCCCACATTTCCTGTGCGTAGAACCCTTTCCAGATGCCCTGCACATCTGGATTTCTTAAGGATGGAGCAGAACCCTCCAGCTCCCCCCCTCCTCTCTTTCTCCCCACGGGTTTCCCTGCTAGCCTCCAGGGATCCAGCTGTTTGTGTGGGCCACCTCTCCTCAGCAGCTGCACCACAGCCAGCACCTTTACCCTTTTCTTAACGTTACACTTGAACGCATCATGATAACCTAATTGTGGTTTTACTGAGCCAACCTGAACACATCATCACGCAGCACGTCTGAAACTTGATTTACTTTTCAAGCTAACTAGCTTGTATGCTGCCGATTACAACACGGAGTTCACAATTACTATTGTAATAATAAAAAAAACACCAGACTCCATAGTGGTATCGATAAGCCCAAACGGTATTGATTTTCGGGTTTTGAAAAAAGTGGAACTGGGTCCCTGATAGATCCGGGTTTTGACCCCCTCCCCGGACCCCCTCCAGGACGCTGGTTTTACGCTAATGTTGACGCACACACTTACATTTTTCACTCCAAACTCCCCTAAAATCACACGAGTCCGGATCTCCTCCACGTTCCTCCTGGTGGCGGCCATTTTGCCGTGAGGAACAGAACTACAGAGCTCCTTCTTCTTCTTCTTCTTCTTTTCTATTATGGCGGATCACAAGCAACTTTAAGGTGCATACCGCCACATGAGTGTGTAGCAGCGTTACTTCACATCTATTATATTTTATTTTTTAATTTTGTATTCTTAAGGTAGATAAACAATGCTTTCCTTAATTTATGAATATCTGTTATGTTTCCTTCATTTCCAAATATACCTTTAAGATTCCATTCATGCCCTATACTTCTAACTATTCTCTTTAATTCTTCCCTTTCGAGTTCATATGACTTACAGTTCATCAGTATATGTTTTACATTTTCTTTTTCTCCACATCTCTCACATTTATCACTATTTTTCCTCTCTATTAAATAAAGCATGTAATTTAAGTAGGTATGACCTATTCTTAATCTACTAATTATTATTTCTTCTCTTCTGTTTATTTCATTAATGCTTCGAAATCGAACTGACTTTTCCACTTCTTATAATCTTCTTCCTTTCTTTTCTTCATTCCATATTTTTTGCCATTCCTCCATTTTTTTACTTTTAATAAGTGATTTCCCTTCCCTACAGTCGCCACACCGCCCTCTGGTGGACTCTGGGGTACTGCAGCCTCTTCCGGCTGACTCTGAGCGAAAGGCGCATGCGCCAGCAGTGCGTCACAGGGCCACACATAGACAGACACACAGACCATAGAGCAGTGTTTTTCAACCTTTTTTGAGCCAAGGTACATTTTTTCATAGAAAAAATCACGAGGCACACCACCAACCAAAAATGTCAAACAAATCTGTATCCGCCTATAGTAACACTATAGTTATTCTTATTTTATTCTTATCTTATCTTAAGTGTCTTGAAAAGGAATCAAATAAACACAAAAATGTATTTTTTATCGTATTTTATATTTCTTCTTTCAAATTGCTCTTAACATGTCCACTTCAATATACAAAATTAAATACAAAATCTAGTCATAAGGAATTATTACATGATTACTCCACCAGTCACTAGAACAGCACACACACTCAAAAATGGAATATTATTTGCAGATAATTAATTCCTGATCAAAAAATCTTTTTAGACCAATGAGGTGAAATAGGATGATTTTCTACACCTGACCATCACTAACGGCACACTAGTGTACCGAGGACCAGGGGTTGAGAAACACTGCCATAGACATATGTACGTAGGGTCGCGTTGAGCAGGTTGGTCCGTTGCTAGGATACGTCAGCGCGTCCGCCATCTTGGATGTGGCAGAACTGCCCGTAAACTCAGAAAAGGAAACGGACTGAACTTCATAAAGCGCCTGTAATACAGATATTGAAATTTAACATGTAATCTGTGTCCATAACAACCAGATGCTGAAAAGAATATGTGACCTGAGGGTTTTCTGGATAAGTTCACAAAACATTTACAATTGACAAAGGGGCCAGTCCCCAGGGATTTGAACCAGGGACCCTCTTCTTATGAGGCAACAGAGCTATAGACAAATGTACATGTTGGAAAACACATTTACATTTCATAAAAAAAATTGAAGATGTTTTTTTTTAAATGTCCTACTGAATATTAACCCTGTAATGCCAAATGTGTCATATTTGATACAGTTTCTGAAATGTTTTGCGTCTGACACCTTTTGCATAATTTAATGGTAAATGGTAATGCTCTAAATGCTCTAATGCTCTAAATCCTATTGTACACAATCAGATACACCTGATAACAGGGGGGCAGAAGACCACACAAAAAATAATCTGGACTCATCAAACCATTTCTGTTATGGTCATCAGGAGGAAATATGGAAAGAGGTCTTTGGGAGGCCATGTTTGACGTATGGAGGCAGGATCTTCCATGATGTTATGTTTTTAATGTGAAGTGGACAGAACATTGGCTGGACAATGGAAACAGCCCTTTAGTGCTACCAGCACAACTCAAAAAAGCCCCAACTGTAAGCACTTTTAAATCCAGGTTAAAAACATTTCTCTTCTCATGTGCTTATGGCTGAGCTTTTTAAAATATATATATATTTTTTTAATATGTTCTTTTTAACATTGTAATCTTGGTTTTGCAAAAGCACTGGAGCTGTAACAAACATATTGCTTTTTCCTTTGTTCCTGCTTTTAACTGTGTTTGAACCTTTTTTTAAAAATTGTCTTTTTAATGGAGGATGCTGGAAAATGACCTACAGCATTGGATCCACAGTTGGGTTTATCCTGGGTGATAAAACACTGTGATTCCCAATAGCTGACCCTGACCACATGACATCCACAGGTTTTCATATCAGACCATAAGAAATAATTTAAGAAACCAGTGAACCCTGAAAGTCGACACATACATTTACAGTCAATTTCTTGTTAAATTTCAGGTGATTTTACCAGAGGAGAGTTGGGTCAAAGGCCTTTGATACATTTACAGTATATTTCTTGTTAAATTTCAGGTGATTTTACCAGAGAAGAGGTGGGTCAAAGGCCTTTGATACATTTACAGTATATTTCTTGTTAAATTTCAGGTGATTTTACCAGAGAAGAG